CATCTTCTGCATGCAGAAACACAGTTCGCTGCAAACCTTCAGTTCCACTAAGTCGGACAGTGGCTTCTACAGGTTCTTTTGTAAATCCATAAAATTCAGCTGCCAGTTTGAACACAAGGTATGCCTTATAATGTGTCATTGAAGAAAGCTTGCAAGTACTGATCCTCCCAACAATTTCAAACCAACAAACACTGAGAAGCTCTGCACCCTCAGGAAACCTGATTGTAATTAAGCATGAATTATAGACATTAATCTTCACATATTTATTCATTTTTAGTTCGAGAAGACACTTAAAAACAATCAACTACATGCTTGAATTCTTTTGGTTGGGTGTGAGTGAAACTGTGTCATGCATGCCTTTTGTCTGCATTTTCTGTGTGGTGTTTGCATGTGTGTGTGTGAGCTGGAATCTCGTATGGAGTTCAGAGAGAGAGAAACCTGGAATCTTGTATGGAGTTCCAGCTCCAATAATGAGGATTATCACCCCATATAATTGTGAGGTCCCCAGCAGCTAGCATGTAACATTTCTTCCCACTCCTTTTGTGCAGTGAAAAGCTCTATGCAATACAGGTTATACAATTAAACACTCAACTGGTTCTGAAAATGTTGGCCAAAAAAATACTAGTACTGAAAAAGAATAGTTTGGAAAAGATTACTGATCAAACTTCAAAATATCAACAAGGGACCAAACGAACACATAAACTTACCATAGAAATGACATAACCATCATTAATGATTATTACATCACCAACAAGAACATAATCCTCTAGCAAGCATATTCCAAAAAAAAGAAGCATTGAATACCCAGGCAACACATCCATAAGTTTTGTAAATTATACCAATAAAAATCCTTATAGTTAACTGCTTCATATAGACATGAATTCAGGACCATCAACACGAAAGAAAATTACGCCAAGTCATGGCGTCTTAACAGGCCATATATAGCTACACACACAAAATAAATGTTAAAAGTCCTCAAGAAGTTTGTGAAAAAAAAATGTTAAAAGTTCTTAGGAAAAACCATTCACAGCAAACAAAAAGCACACAGCTCAATTAGCTACACACAGCAATTGATCAGAAAAGGAAGGCATTATCAGAATTTGGCTTTTTTAAGCTTATGATTCATTCTCAGTCCAAACA